ATATGTTTAGGTATCTAACAATCATAAGTAGAAAACATTTTAATGAAATTATCTTTAAAAGCATATGTTCTAATTGTATTAAATAACTGCTTTCTAGTAAATCTGCACATCAATTATTGAGTCAATCTCTTGCATCTCATTGTTGCAGCTGAAAATGACTGCTAGGGTCATATTTTAATTCAGTTACATACGGTGAACTTCTGTCAATAAAAATTGTTTCTCTTTATTATATCTAAAACACGCACTTTGTTGCTTATATCTGGACAGGTCAAAACTAATGATATAAGTTTTGTGTCGTAAAATTTCAGAAAAAAAATAAAATTGGGGCAAAAATACTAAAGTAAAAGTTATGTTCTTACAAAAAAATCTATGTGTAAAATATGTTTTCGAAAAGCTGAAAACAATATGTCATGCTTGGATAGGGAGCTTAATATTTGTAATGAAATGAAATATCCTGATTTCTGAAATACAACTAATACATTTCTTTTTAAACCGTTATTGAACAACTCCTTTAATTGCATAAATGTGCATGTTTTATTTAATAAAATCAACCCAAATCGTAGAGAAGTCCTCTGGTTCAGTTCTAACATTTGGAGCAGGAAAAACGAGTCTCTGTAGATAAAGATAATAGTAGATTACATATAGTCCAACACGTTTTCAATTAAATGTTTTTTTTTTGTACAACTCATAAAAAACACTAGGGGTCAGTATAGACCACAAACAAATTAATGTGTGACCGAGTATTGTAAACTCATAAACATGTCTATGGTTAATCTCTAAAATGTCTCTCGAATTACAATTAATTTTGACGTTATTAAGAATTTAAATCATATTATATTTACACCAGCTTCTACATTTTCAATAGTATTAAATTCAGGAAAGAGGTCAGTATTTATAGTTTGAAAAGGTGCTTACATTTACATCTAAGGCAAGAAATTAAAACAGTTATGGCCAGGTGGGTTTTTAAGACCATTTTGAGACTATTCGGTGCGAATACATAAAGTTTTACTGATTTATTACATTTTAATCTTTTGATAAACTGCACAATAGGATAAATTAGCTTTCTCCTTTCAACCATGTTAGCATCAATTTGCCAAACTTTAGCAATATTAACTTAACATAATATCTAACAAAGGTTGAAGACTAAATTAAGTAGGCTTTGTTTTTAATCAAACGAATCCTTCATAATGCTACTGTTAGTTATGTGGTTATTTCAGCTTCCAGAAAGATGTAGGTCAGGAGGAGATTCTTAAAAGACTACATTACCCATAAATCTGTTCGATAGGCTCTTCTCTAGGCTTTTTGAGGTGGGCGGTGCCGCCGATCTGCGACTATAAACTTGAGGAAAGCCTGCCCATTGCGACCCATCTATATGGTTTACAGATCAGCGGATCCCAGATGACTCTCAGGCGGACGCGAACGGGGAGCCGGTGTGTTCGGATGAAACCCAGCCCCACAGAGACTGACAGACGGGCAGCCTGGAGCTCGAAATGGTGCGTCTCTTCATTCGGAGCCTGTTTGGACACGAAGGAGCTCTAGTTGAGCGACAAAAACCGGGACTACAGGGAGCGCTTTTTTAAAACCTGTCTGGATTATTATTTTTTTCTTTAGCGGATGTAAACCGCCGAAATACGTCGAAGTCAGTGGATGTCGCTACCTTCAATGTTCAGGTTAGATTACAGTAAACCTTAAATGTTTACGTATTGAAATAAAGCTGATAGAAGCAGAGGAGACAATTGCATAAAACGTAATTTATTATTCTTATTCTAATTGGGATGGGGTGTMTGATGTAAAGAAAAAATGGAGACAGTGGTTCTCTTCATCGCCTTTTTCCATCTTCTCTGACAATATTCCACCTTACTACCACCAGCTCTTATAAAGACATCCAACCCCCACGCATCCTGCCTGGAGAGAGCCAGGGGTGCTCGGAAAGCAGCAGGATAATGACAAATGCTACCATTATTTCTGCCTCCAGTAAAGAAGAGCCTGTTTTCCATCACGGATGTGGCCCTCACAGAGGAGCAGACTGAAACAGGCCGCTGCACTGAGAGAAAGGGGCGAGTTTTCTTTTTTTTTTAAATTATTATTATTATTATTATTATTTTGTTGTGCTCAGACCTGATGCTGAGTATGGTGCCACTTTCCATCCCCTGTACTGAATACCTGCCACCCTGCAGCTGTCAGCTTGTCTCTGTAATTCCTCAGCAGTCTTAAAATGAACACACCCACCCCCACCTATTTTTATTTTTATTATTTATTTTTGTCTTATTGTCAAAGGCTATTCAGAGAACCGGCTCATGCATGTAGGATTTAGCCTGGACCAGCTTGTGGGGATGTAGGGCGAACATCCGAGGATATTTCCAACACACAATAAATGTAGAGGAGAAAACGGCTCATATTCATGGAGATGGCTGGCGGGGGAGGTGCATCGGATGGATGAAAAATAATGAGGACCCCTGCACAGAGGATTTTACTCAGCTCATGCTCGTTTTTTATTATTATTGGCAGCCTAATAGTTCATTTTCCATCCTAAATTTGATCTGACAGCTGGTAGAGCTGCCTCAGCGCTTTCAGAGTTGATTATTATTGTCCTGATATTAACTACACAAAAAGGCAGTAATTAAAATAAGAAGAGCTCAGACTTGACTTCCGTTAGATTCCAAATATCTGAGTTAAGACTCTTATTGTGAAGGAATTATTGTTTTGAATATCATCACTGAACCAAGACAACTGCACTAAAGATCTTGCTGCTGTTTTCTACACCTCCTTTGAGAACTTGTTTCAGTTTTCTAAAGGACGTATTTGTACATGGAACATAGTTTTCTGGTGGATCGTTATTGTTTGACCCGATGAGCGACCCTGCCTGGTGGGAACACAAGCTACTTTCCACATACTGTTTGGGACAAACTCAGCCTCGACATGTGGTGATGGTGGGGTGTGTTCCCTGCTCCCTGAGTCTCTGATCGCCACCATCCTCTTGTCTGGTGGCCGAGGACACCCRGTCTTCGTCGATGGGCCCCGCATGGATTTTGCGCCTGAGTTGACGCTGCTATGAACCCRTACGGCCGAGCGAGCACCACAGCAGCCCCCCTGTCCTGCACCAGCTGCGGGAGCTGCTGCTCACCACCTCCCCCTTGCCTCATCCCCCCTGGGCCCCCATCCTCCACCAACTCCACCTCCTCCATGCCCCCAAACATGACCCCTCCGCCGCCAATGTCTCCCGCCCCAGTCGTGCGGGTGGAGAACGGCAACAGCTGGAACTCCTCCGCTCGCTCCTCCTTCGACTCCCCGGACTCCCATCCCGGTCACCGGTGTCGGGTGAGCAACCCCAACCCGTACTGGACGGCGGTGTTTGACTACGAGGCTACGGCGGACGAGGAGCTGACCCTGAGACGTGGAGACCTCCTCGAGGTCCTTTCCAAAGACTCCAAAGTGTCGGGGGACGAGGGCTGGTGGACGGGAAAGATCCAGGACAAGGTGGGTATCTTTCCCAGCAACTACGTCACCAGAGGAGACGCCACCAACTACCAGCTGGTGGCAGGCGGCGTGGGAGGCTCCCCTGTAGAAATTGACTTCTCAGAACTGCTCCTGGAGGAAGTGATAGGAGCCGGTGGGTTTGGGAAGGTGTACAAAGGGGGGTGGCGAGGAGAGGAAGTGGCGGTGAAGGCGGCCCGGCAGGATCCAGATGAGGATATCAGCGTCACGGCGGAGAGCGTKCGTCAGGAGGCCAGGCTTTTCTGGATGCTGCGACACCCCAACATCATTGCYCTGCGTGGGGTCTGCCTGAAGGAGCCTAACCTGTGTTTGGTGATGGARTACGCCAGGGGCGGGGCTCTGAACCGGGCCTTGGCTGGGAAGAAGGTTCCCCCTAGAGTTTTGGTGAACTGGGCTGTGCAGATTGCAACAGGGATGAATTACTTGCATAACCAGGCCTTCGTACCCATCATCCACAGAGACCTCAAGTCCAGCAACAGTAAGTACTGCATAAGACAATTTTAACTCTGTCAGTTCTGTCAATTCTGTTTGTACAAATACTTGTTACCAGATAAACGATCAGTGTGATTTTAAAGTTCTTTGAGTTTTATTCAACCAGGTGATAGGGTTGGGCATACCTTCAGTTGTWATGAAAATACTGTWTRTWTCAAAACTAAATTTGACTTTGCATCATAGCTTATCTAAACACCTTGAAATTGACCTCTGTCGAAGAACCTCCTACCGTTTATGACACTCCCGCTTCAGCACGCCTTCACAACAATGCTTTGGGAGAGGGGTGYTCTGTGGAGCAGGAGCTCGGCTGCAGACAGAGCTCCAGGGAGGAGCTTTGTACAAATAGGCGGTGCTTTGTACCAGCAAGCGTTCAGGCAGCTCCACATTGCTGCTGCAGGAGATTCAARGATTTCTCAGTTGTGCAATAATAAGTCAAAGCAACAGTTTGAGTGTGTTTTTGATGAGAAAATGACATAATAACATGATATAAAGCTCAAAGAAGTTAATTTTGCATAATAACTTGTCATCAAGAATTAAAGAGTAACTTTWGTTTTTTTACTCTTTGAGTTTAGTGAAGTTGCTGTTTGACGTGTTGACTTCAAAGCTGAACTAGTTTCCCTCCTGGACAGTAAAGCCTGTTTTATTTTTGTTTTATCATCCATCACCTGATGGATGATGTTTACTCAGGTCATGTTGACATTGGACCGAGTTCTGGTTTCTTAGGTTTCAGCTGTAATGTCTTCTTTAGGTTTAACTTTACAGCTGAGAAGGTCAACAATGATAAATTGGTAGAACAGAGATGTTATATGCATTTTTGATGAAAATGAGTTCAGGAATCTTTTTCTGGCAGGTTTTGTCTCCATTAAATGAACAAATGTTACAGAAAACATGGAAAACAAGCACACACTGTGAAAATATGGTTAATAAGTGCATGAAAGGCAGGTACTCATATGATCGTTTGTGTCCGAGAGCAAAATATGTCATGAACCTTCACAGACTTTAACAAAGATTTCAAAAAGTAATGGATCTATAACTGATTTACTTTGAAAGTAAATTTGATTCAAGATGGCTGACAGCTAAACAGCCTTAGCAAACAGAAAAATGCCACTTATACACAAATTGTGCTGATATTTGGTGTGGTAGTAGCTGAGATTCATTCCCAAAACATACTCTGAGCACTAACAGATCATACATAATCTTTGTTTAAAACTTTGATATATAATGTGTGAGATATAATGTGTCAGGAAATATGCGTTCCTTTAAGTTTTATTCAAACAGGTTTGGCTCGGTTCATCCTTTAAACTAAGTGTCCTCTAATTTGATATTTGGTAAACGTTTGTTTGAAGGAACTTTAAATATCCAAGTATGGTTTCTACTTTATTCTGGGGCTAACGTTGTAAATAAGAAAATTTTTTATAATGTTTTGCTTGGTGAAATAAAGGTGGCTCAGAAGTTAGAGAAGGTAATCGGGCGGAGGGGGGCTGCAGGTTTGAATCCCTGGATTGATACAAAAACTTTGGGTGGTAAAGGTAAAGCATCCACATCTGCCTCCACCCTCATTTGCCCCACTGTGCCTTTGAGCAAGGCACTCTTCAGCTGCTGCTTGTGCACTTTAGATGGAAGCCTGCCATGTATTTATATTAATTAGCATTTTTATGTATGAGAGGAGACAGGGTGGTCCATGTGCTACGAGCAGCTTCAGTCCATTCCACGTATATTAGGATGTATGGACTTTTCATATTATGTATGTGGACCAACTTTCAATGTAAAAACTRTACACTGTTTTTTACAAGAGGCTCCTTGTCCCTCCCTGCCATCTTTACCCTGTTATCCCTCCCTGCACCTCCTCCTGCTCTTCATCCTCCTCCTCAAGGAGAGCAGTTCTGCTCTGCAACCCACTGTGCTATTTTTGGTCCTTTGTGCTACTTGCTGTTTAAAGACGCAGTTGCAGTTGTTGGTGCGTCAAAGAAAGGAAACACAGCAAACATGTCTTAATGTGTGGCTCACGCAGGGTGTATTTTAGCAGGAAATGGGACTGATGGGAGAGAAAAGATGCAAGAATCTGTGTGGAAAGAGCGGGATGCTGACTAAAGACAGGGTGAGACAGCAGCTTGCTCATCCTCTTAATTATAGTCAAAAAGCAAAGGTGGGCGATGGTTTGGGTCTGACTTTGCATGTCTGTTAGCAAAATATCTCATGAACTATTGGACAGATTATGATCAAACATGTAGGAAATCAATGGTACATCTACAACAGATTAACTTCTGCAGTCAATCGAAATCAAGATGTCCTCCACAGCTAATCCACGACACAAAAATGAGTGTAGCTCAGTCAACTGTAGAGCTTTTCAGTTAAGTTTTGGTGTGTTAGTAGCTGAGAGTCGTTCAGAACATAATTTGAGTGTGACAGAGGGTGATATTGACGAAAACCGTTATAACGCTGTTATTTCTCAACAAAAGGCGTCCAGCATTATAAGCTTTTCTGTCAGGATTATACTAAAACTTTCTCCTGTCTCCTTCCTTCCTGTTTGAATCTATCTGTCCACAATACTACCTACTTTTTCCCCAACAGAGCCTTAGCAACAGCACCATAATACTGCCTTTTCCTGTGGCGACATGRGCTCTGCTGCTGTGTCACTGAGTCATACAGCTGCTGTCAAAACGCCAGCCCATTCTTTAGAGAGTTGCACATGTGAAAGTGGCAACTCAAAATAGCAGAAACGTCTCAAGGTGGACTTTATCCCTTTCTGGATGATAGATATAGGAGGGGAAGAAATGTAAAAAAATGTGTGGGTGCTAATTAATTATTCTGGTTTCATGACTCACCCTCRCACTGTTTGCATTAGCATGGTGATGTCCTGAAGGGTGAAGCCTTCGGGGGAGACAGTGAGACAGATTTAGTGAAGCGAGACTCAAAAGACCGGGCTGGAGTAGAAAGCTCACGAACCAGCGAGAGCAGAGCCGTATGAAACGAGAGAGTAGACTGATGGCGGTGAACAAGAGAAGGAGAGCGCGGGGGACAAACAGTGGGTTCATCTCCGTTTAGGGTTACACCTCAGCGCATTGTTCAGGTGCGCGGGTCTCAGGTGTCCCCTTCAATCCACCAACCACTTGGCATCGCTGCAGTTACCGAGCAGCTTGGGCCCCCAAGCTTCTTACTTCGTCTTCTGTCAGCTGTCTTCTGAGCTCAGTAAACAATCTCAACTCTCCAGAAGGGTAAAAAAAAAAGAACAATTAAAACTTGAAACTTCAGATGGAGTCAGTGCATCTTTGAAGATTTGCTAAAACTCTCGACTACACAGTCTTATTTTTGGCTCCGTTCAGATGTTTTCTTCTAAATTTATCCTGCCTCAGTTGGTATTTTTAAGCCTGTAAGTATTTGTGACTGAGTCTCTGACCGTAACAGAGATAATCTAATTACTGTGACCACCGTGGAGTGACATCACAGCGTCTTCGTAGGCCGGCAGGTTATCTCCTCTTTAGTCACGCTTGACCTGGCACTCTGATCCTRGATCAGCTTTTGGTTTCTCAAAGCAAAGGGCTCCAGTCTTCATCATTTGGGGTGAAACAAACAGACTCAAAGCAAAATTGCTGATCAAATCCACATAAGCACAATTGCTGGCAGATAGCCATAGTTAGCAATTAAAGCTACACTTAATGTGTTGTGTGTTCATGCACGGGTCTGAAAGCTTTGCAGCCAAGCCAAAGAGTCCTGATGATCAATGATGCAAACCATTTAAGTACAGGTTTGACTTGAATGAGGTGTGGGAATAAAATGCACCATTATATGGTAGGAACTAGTGTATTTGTGGTACAGTAAAAATGAATTGCATTTAAACTATTTCGTTTGTCAGGTGGACAGGCAATAGGTCAGATCACCCCTGACTGAGCTGTGGGTTTAAAAAGAGGCTCACAGCTTATTTCCTGTATTAGCAAAGCCAATACTGCTTCGTGCCATTCCTCAGATGACCCTCGGCTGATGTAAAATGGTGATAGATTTTTTCTTTTTTCTACAATGATGCATTCAACGAATTGTTTCCTTCTAAAATATATATATCAGGATATCCTGATGCATCTCAGTAATCCAGGTAAAAAAATCAAAAAGAAAAAAATTGTATAGGTCTTCTGGACGGGTTCTTCTCTAATGAAACGTTTCGTCTCTCCTCCAAGAGACTTCTTCAGTCTGAGAGTTTCAGGTGAAACTCAGGCTTTTAAGCACTGCCTCCATGTGACTGATACTCACATCACATGGCTATCGTTGACACCTAATTAACACCTATTGTTAACGGGGTGGAGTGATACTGGCAATAGCAGCACTGTAGGAGGGGGACAACTGAAAACGGAGGCCTCCACCTCTGTTTAATGATGGACGGTCTTTCTTCACAAAATTGGCTTCTTTTACTCCTCTCTCAAACCAACGTTCCTCTCTATCAAGAATGAGAACATCCTCATCTCTGAAAGAGTGACCGCTGGCCTGTAAATGAGTGAAAACTGCAGAGTTCTGGCCATTAGATGTAGCTCGTCTGTGTTGGGACATTCTTTTGAACAGTGGCTGCTTTGTTTCCCCGATSTATAACTGGTCGCAGTCCTCCTGGCACTTATGAATATCAGGATATTTGCTCCTTGTGTTGCCAAGGGTGGCTTATAATACAGAGTGAGTCAGAAGTCACAGGACACCCTCTTTGTTTTGATCCAATATGGCGGCTTTCAGGACGGCAGCCATGTTCTGGACATAGCTTAAAAGAAAGGTTCGCTCACTCATTGCTTGCTGGGAGATTCAGCTATGTAAACAAAAGGGTGTCTTGTGTCTTTTGACTCACCTGTATACTCAACAGGGCTGCACAGGATGCTGAAAAATTWCTGTCATTGCAAAATCAGTATGGCAAAGGACAGCTTGAACTGCAGTAAATCATCAATCATTACATTTCAASTACCGTGTATTCAGATATTTGGTCAATCTAAGACTCTCACCTGCCTCGATGCACAC